CGTTGCCAAATATTACAACCGTGAAGCTATTGTTAGGCTTGTTTTATTTCATTAGTATCACTACTCTTTAACTGATCAATATATTACCGATTGTTACGCCCTCGCATCTAAAATAAGTTAACGTTCGTAAATTTACGTGAAGTATGGTTAATAAGTAAATATAATTTTTACCTCTTTATTCGATTTGAACTTATGCCCATATATTTTCTTAGTCGTGCCATATTTTGTTATACTTTAACATACAAACATTGCAACTCAGAATTTTAAGCAACGTTACGTAAAAATATTATGCACATTAGAGATTAGGCAATAAAATATTACGTCTTTATGAATGTGAAAAGAGGTAAGTAACGAAGGTTGGCACATGGATAGTTTCTTGACCGGCCTGGTCGATTTGCCGGTATCCAGAAAAACAATTTAATCTGTCTTATTTTATGTGGGCCTACATATTTGCATTGCTATCACATTACAATTGGATATATAATGTTAAATGTTTCTTTGACAAGCTGAAGGTCATTGCTGTAGTGTTGCCACTTCCCCAGTTTAAACTGTCATGGATCAAAACTGCTGTTAATACAGCAGCTTTCTGTCTGCTGTGTGAAGGGGAATTTGGAAATATGCTACAATAAGTGGCTGTTGTAGTATATTAGTATATTGTATTACCATACATAACTGATTTAGTACTGTAATTCACTGTTTGCGGTGCGTGCGTGGGGAAAAGATGTTGCTTTGTCGAGAGGGGTGGGTGGGTGAGTTGTATTTCAAAGGTGATGACCTTATAGGTTAGTTAGTAATATAACTTCGGTTTTATTCATTTAAAATTATATAAACATATTATTTTCATAAAATAGATGTTTCTTATTGATAAATATTATACATTAAACATATACCAATTTGTTTTATATAAAAAGAAAAACATAACTGTCTTAACTTACGACCTTTCAGTAATGCCTTAATTCACACGGCCCGGCATGGCCAAGAGGTTAAAAAGCTCGACTCGCAATCTGAGGGTCGCGGGTTCGGATCCATGTTCCACCAAACATGCTCGCCCTTTCAGCCGTGGGATGTTATAATGTGACGGTCAATCCCACTATTCGTTGGTAAAAGAGTAGCCCAAGAGTTGGCGCTGGGTGGTGATGACTAGCTGCCTTCCCCTCTAGTCTTACACTGCTAAATTAGGGACGGCTAACGCAGATAGCCCTCGTGTAGCTTTGCGCGAAATTCAAAACAAACAAACATACAGGACTGTTCTAGCAAATCCGATCCATTTCACTTGGCTCAGTGTTAAATATACCCAAGTAAACCGTTAATGTTCCTTTATCTTTGATTGGCCGTTACAACGATGCATGACTGAATGAATGAAGCACAAAATAAACTTTCGCGTATATTCTCCTGCCGATATAGTTTGGTTAAACCACAGTTTCAATCTGTGGATTAACAAAACTTTCCTTCTTAATTTCTGGCTCTAGTAAAGATATTTTAGTGATTTAAAGAAACGAAACATCCAGTTCACCAAAGACGTTGATATGAATTCGATTGGCTCTAAATGACTTGGACGTTCTTGTACTGATAAATAAGATGATTTTAATGTTGTAGAATCCGTGCAGATTAGATATAATATGTATACATATTTCCACGAAGACAAACCTGATTAGCATAAGTAAAATATGGCATATTTAACTAGAAAGAGTATTAAAGCTTAAATTGTAGACAATAAAACTCTTGTGAATTTCGATTCAGTACAGAAAATGTAAGCTTACTAAGCTCGGACTGAAAATTTATTATTTGCGGCTCGCTGCAGAAAAAAATACACTTCGACTTTAACGTAACATGCAGACAACAAGGGAACGTTTAACCGTCAAGGTTGTTCTTACATACTCACCGTTGATAAAAATAAAAATTTAAACACACTCTTTATTTTTCAGAAAATCATCGATCCCCTTCTTAAGTTCCTGTGAAGTGATAATCTCTGCTATTTCCGACAACAACTCTTTTCATCACATGATAGAACAATAATAAAATTGTCTTAACTGTAGTGTAGCCTATCTTTTTCAAATTTTACTTGTGCCTTCTCGTGCTATTATCTTTAAAATACAGCAAAAGACATCAGAGGCCTTTATCCTATCGACTCCCTTGATAATCTTGTAAACTACAATAAGATTGCTTCTTACTCTTATTTGCTCAAGAGATGATAAGTTAAGATAAATCCTAACCTATCCCTATGCGATAACCCTTCCATCCCCATAATCATCCTGGTAGCCCTCGTTTGAACTCTTTCTAATAAGTCAATATCCTTTCTTAGATAAAGAGATCAAAATTGTACAAGTATTACGTTAGTTTTACTTCTAGCAACAGATCACCGCCTTGATGGTTTCAGAAACATATCTACCATTACGCCAAAATGCTTTTCTTCAGTCATCTCATTGAGTGGGTTTTCATATATTAAACGTTTGATTCAAATTACGATTACCTACATGCTTTACCTTCAACTTACTATAATTAAAAGTCTTTTCCCAAATATTTGTCCACCTTATCAATTGTTCCAAATCATTCTAAGTACCTCAATATTCAAAATACAATTAAAAATACCAAAGATTTTAATATTATCAGCAAACTTTAGTAATTTTCTAATTATGTCCATTTCAGTATCATCAATGTAAATAAGAAAAAGGCAAGGTCCATGCACTGACCATTGAGGTACTCCACTATTAACAAAGGTCCAGTTTGACTGGACTTCATTAATAACAGTTTTTTTTCCTTCCCCAATCTAACCATCTTAAAATTATATTAACTGTCTTTCACCAACCCCTAACGATGCGATTTTCTTACCTAATATGTTGTCCTGCTCCTTATCAAAAACTTTTTGAAAATCTAAGTACATCAAGTTCACCTTTTTTTCGATCGTTCAGATAACAACTAAAATTTTTAAAAAAGGATAACAGATTAGTAAGGCAATATTTTCCTTTGAAAAATCCACGTTGGCTTTATTTAATTATGTCAATTTTACTAAATAATTTTGTAAAAATACTTCTTTTAGAGTCTCTAGAAATTTTTCTATTACAGAAGGTAGACTAACGAGCCTATAATTTCAGGGATGGTTCTTGTCACTTCCTTTTAAAGACAAGAGTAACATTAGCACTCTTCAGTTTGTGGGTACCTTCCCACTGTCTACTGATCTACGAAAATTATATAGGCTTGCATACTTGATCTCCTTTAAAACCCTCGAGAAAATCTTGTCTGGCCCTAGAGCTTTTTCTATTTTTAATCTTTCAATTACCATTCAGGGATTAATGTTTATACGATTCAAGTCAATTCCAATATTTCCCATACAATAATTTGGTGCCGTGGGTGCGCTATAATCGTAACGGGCAAATCCTACTAGTTGGTCGGACAAGAGAAGCATAAGAGTAAGCGTAAGCAGTAGGTGCTGTTGCTAGCTACCGTTCTTTTATTCTAGAGGTTCTCAATCTGTAGTTTTCGGACTGTACATAGTCCGGAAGCTTCCCATGAATGTGGTTTGCGGAAAGGTTTCATAATCATGCAAAGGAAGTGTTTGTAGTTCAAGGAGTGAACCCGACACTTCAAAACTTATAATTTCAGCTATATGAACAACAATAATGTGCATAAATTATATGTTATATGGCTTTTGGGTTGAAGAGGAAAATATATTCTATAGTTGGGAGTTTTCTTTCATTTAAAAATAACGACCTACCTACGAAAGAAGATAGTTTGTTGCAGTTTTCTTACCGCAGAAGATTAAGAACAGAGTGAAAAATAAATCCATTATAGTTTTGGATCCACAGAACTGGAGAGCACTCAGACTTTGTAGACAAAGCAATTCGTTTTCTAATATAATTTGCTACTATGTATCTGTGCGAGATGGAATTTACATCAGTTACAGCCCTGAAGTTCATATACAGAAGCAGGATGAATGCCGAATCTGATATGAGGCTAATACTGACGATTATCCTACCGAACTTTCAGAATTTTGGTCACAATATCAGGCGCACCCATCGCATTAAAATGTAGACGTTTACTTGTATGGTTAGTATTAATATAACAGCGATTTTATTTTTATGTGTTTATTTTGTTTCGTACAATCATACTGTTATTATGTGGTCGGCGACTCAGCCCAATCCCCCAAAGAATTTGGGAATCACTGGTCTAGTCTATCAATTCAATATATCAAAATAAGCTATCCTAGTATGTTCTGATAGGGCATGTGTCCATAAAACAATTAGCTAAAATCATTTTAAAAGCATAATTAAAGAATCTTGTTCGTTATTAAACTTGTTCATTTTTATATAGCACGCAACACAGTATAACAATTGTTTTTTTATTTGATTTACCTGAATTATAAAAGAATATATACAACAATACAATTTGTCTGAGGCTTACACTTTGTCTGCGGACTTACAACGCTAGAATCCGGGTTTCGACACCCGTGGTGGACAGAGCACAGATAGCCCATTGTGTAGCTTTGTGCTTAACTTCAAACAAACAAACAAGCTTACACTTTGATAGTGCTTTATTAACCAGTGACATTTTATCTCCTCGACCATATGATATTTACTGTTTAAGCACACTGTGAGCGTACTGAACTGTTTAATTGAAACTCAGGCGTCATTATATTGTTTATTTATTTAGAAAATTAATATAATCATAACAGTTACGTTTTTATTACTGATATGACTTGTAATAGAAAAATTTTACGTCAAACCATAAGAGTTTGTCAAGGAATGTATTTTAAGTCAATTATATAAATTACTTGTAATAGGATTTTAAAAATTGTGAGATTTACTAACATTGCTTTAATAATTCACAAGTACTCTGTGATATGACTAAACTATGATTTTATTGCTGTGGTTATTATGCACGATCACGCGCGATTTCCTTCATATGGTATTACGTCTTCCACTCACAAAATCTGCAGAGAATGTACTCTTGTATTCATCTAGAAACCGCTCTCTTGACGCCGTGAAGGGATTTGTGGGAAATTTATGACGTCATCAGGCGTTGGTGTTGGACAAAGAAAGATGGCTGGTACGTATGAAGTTTTGTAAAAATATCCTAAACTTAGTTATATTTCCTTTTAGCAATTAATTAGTGCATTAAACATCTTGTTGATTGTGTTATCAGGGTCAGTTGCTGACTACCAGTGTAATTACTGCCAAGAAGAAATCACGGAAATAAGAGTGAAATGTAGCCAGTGCCAAGACTTTGACCTCTGCTTACAGGCAAGTGGCATTAAACTAGTAACGGTCGTTTAATTTTGTTATTCTTCACATTGAATACCTGTACATTACTAACGTTTTAGTGTATTTTTTCATGTAAGAACACTTAGAAAATATTTGTTTCTGCCAGACTGTTGCTTGAAGTATACATATGCGTAATCTCTTATGCTTTCAAAATACTGTCACGAGCGTATTTTAACACAACGTCATTTGCAGATATAGTATTAGGCTTATTCTTAACTCTTGATGAAAATATAAACGCCGCCTAACGGTCAAAGTGAAAAAGACATTCTTTTTCCGTTAAGAATGATTTGAAATTTTTAAACTGAGCATGCGCATCGTAAAGGTTTGTTAGTAATGGTAAATCGGCAAATCAGCTGCGTGTTCTAATTGTATGAAAATATTCCTACCAATTTTGAATTGATAACAGAATGTATGCGGATTAAAAATACTTTTAGCTGTATAGAAATGTAAACTTTTTAAAACAGTTATTCTGTAATATCTGTTTGTGCCCAGTAAGTGTAACTTGTATCATAATAATAATATATTAAATTTAAAGATGCCCAAGCTTAAGTTAGGCAAATACTTAATTTCATTCTCATGGAAACTAATGAAAATTGTCTGTTATTGTTAATTTGGTAGTAGTCAGAGAACAATTTAAAGAGCAATATTTTCTGATCATGCATTCAGAGTATTTAAAATCTCAAACTCTTGGAAGCTTAGTTGTCTTGGAAAACTAAGGCTACAGAACCCTGTAAGATGCACTTCCAAAAGATTAATTAAGCTTATTACATTGTTAAAGTAATGTACTGAAATTACCAAAACATATATTAATGAATTGTTATTATTATTTCAAATCTTTTGTCCCAAAAGTAATAAAATGCTATGATAATTTTAAATTTAGCTAGTGATTTATAGGGAACTTGATCCACCACTATTAATTTTCTGTCTGAAGTAAGAAAGTTGATAATAAAATATTTTTGTGCTCTGAAAATTGTGCATAATGTTCAGTTTTATATAAATATTTGAGATAATTGAAGACATGTTAAACTGACTTGCAGATTTGTTCATATATTTTTGTTACACTTGCAGTGTTTTTCATGTGGAGTAGAGATAGGTCAACACAAAAATAAACATGGATATGAAATCATTGTAAGTATTTAGGTGATTTTATTAGAAATGAGATATTGCAATCAGCAGTTATTGATAGTAATAGTTATTAATTATTAAATGAAAATTACAAATTAGCAAATTCTAAGAAAAATTACAATTATTGGTTATTTTTCTCATTCATAAACCATGGAATAACCTTATTTTAGTAATTAGTGGGTAAATGTTTTCTGAAACATATTTTTAGAGAAATAATTTTGGATATCAACAAGTGTGGGTATTTCTAAAACACATAGCTGTTTCTTCTGGTATTTGTGAAAGTGATGGAGAAAATACTGTTTGGGGATTGGTATGAAAGTTAATTTGTTTTTAAGATATTAAGTCCTTTTATCTGTCTTTTTCTTCTACTTAAAGTGAAACCTCTTATCAGAAGAAGGTTAGGAATTTACATTTCATATCTTAAGAACTTTCAAGAAATTTTGTTAAATATGATGTCATGTTAACTTTTAATATTATTAAGTTATAAAAATTGAAAACTAACTAAATGTGATGTAAACTTTCATAATTTTAAACTTAGCAACATGCCAGTCAAAATTCAAGATTAACAACTCCTGGTTTATGTTTAGCAAAAGGTCAGTATGGTTGATCTGAATTTGTATTATTCTGAATGTGTAGTCAAAGAGTGATACATGTATATGATAACACATTTTACTGTTTAAATAGGGTTGACAGTTTTAGCTCATTTGAAAATGTTTTTTTGTGCGAGTTTACTGTAAAACTATTATTTTTGTAGTATTATTCAGTGGTATGTGTTTGAAATAGACAACTTTGTTTTGTGGTAATAGTTTTAAGTATGACAATCTAGATTTTATATCATAACTTACTTATTAATGCTGTCATTATTTCTTCTAAGGAAATTGTTTTATGAAAACCAGATCTTCTTTTTGAGTAATAGCTTAAGACTCCAAGTTATAATTTTGTGCTTTTTAAATAATTTTGTATTCAACTGCACTCACAGTGTATCAGTCTCGTTGTTGGTTGTTTGAATCACGTTTTCTGTCATTCTGAAAAGTATGTTTCTTTTATAAAAATAAAAAAAGGGCAGGGTGCGGTTTTTACTAAATTAGTGAAAGATTTTAGGGAAAATTAATTGCAGAAAAAAGTGTATATTGGTGATTGTGTGTATGTCCATGATTTATTAAATTTCCAAAAAATAATTAAGTAAATGAGAGTATGAATTTGATGCTACTTTTTTTTTATTCTTGAGATTTCTGTACTATATATATTTGAAAACAAATTTTTCAAATTGTTTTTTATTTGCTATTCTTTAGAAAACCTTAAGCTACATATACACAGCATGGTCAGAAGTAAATAGACACCACCTTTACAGAAAAAAATGAAATTTTTCAGTCATATTCACATGAA